ATAAAGAAATCTAACTAATAAACTAATATAATAATGTTAATAAAAATATATATAAAAATTAAGAAATAAGGTTAACACCAGATACTTTTAGCAGGTCAGTGTAAAAAGGTAAGTATTCTAGTAGAAGTCTAAAAAAGATTATATAGGTGGTATGCAACATTATATAATTTAAAAAAGAAAGATATAAAAGTATGTATGGAAGTGATTATGAACCAACATGTAAGGTTAATAACAGAGAATAAAATATTTGGGTCTAAAATCGCAGGCCGATATGAAAATAATATAGTAATCTTAGCAAAATGGGAGATCTTTAGAGATGGAACAAGTAATATTTATCCTGGAGAAGTACAATATTACTTTGAATATACACTTACCTTTCTGAATAGACCAAGAACACATCTTTTAACTTACATCAAATAGTACAAAAATACATCTTCCTCTAGTATTCAATTTAAGTATAAATTTATGACACCCAAAGTATCAAATACAGAGTTCTGAAGAGAAGAATACTATGAGGAAGGTATAGATTCGATTATTGCAGTACATAAAATATATGGTCGAGCCATTAAGATAAACTATCAGGTGAAAAATAAGAATAAGAAAAATTATGTTTCAATAATTTCATTGAATAGAAGATTTAATGTTTAATTTATTTTATTTAATAATAAATAATAAAGAGATTATCTAATACAATGAGCATATAATAATATTGTGTACCTGAATAAAATAATTAGAATATCATCCACCCGATATTACTATTTTAGTATCATGCACCCAATATTCAAGACAATATCGGGGACCTGAGATAATAATAAAATTATCTCACACCTATCGCTGTTATATCGGGCACATGATAAAATTTACAAAATTAATTATCGGATACTTAGTAATAATCAATCATATCGGATGCCCGATATGTTTATTTTTTTTCAATAGGTGTCCAATATTATAAATATATCAGGCACCCAATAGATGTTCGATAAATGCCCGATATTTAAATTTTGACCTGTGTAAGTAAAGAATTATAACACAAAAACTGTATACCAAGATTACAAAGCAAGGTATAATTCACAAGGGTTTTAGTATTCCACTAAGTAATAATATAGAATTTCACTAAGAAATTATAATGGTATAAATAATAATCCACACAGGTATTTATTATTTATAAAGTAAATTACAAAGTATTTTATTAACAGAAGCTGAACTGAACTAACTGACTGTCTAACTGAACTGAGGACTGAGCAAAGAGAAATTTAGCCCTTTATATACATAATTGAAGTTATAATAGATTACACTATAGACTATACACTATTAATTACATTGATGTATACACTATTAAATATGCTTTCTACTACACTATCTATTACACTGTATATTACACTATTGAATACACTATTGATTACGCTGTACACTACACTGTTGATTACACTCAGATTTACAGTCATATTCTTAATAGTTGTACCAATTTCTAAATAATTTACATTAATAATTTCCTATAAATATATATTAATAAAATATGAATTTAAGCTAATAAAATATAAATAAACTAATAAATACATGATGTTAAAATAATAATATGTTAAATAAAGTAAAGATATAATAATAAATAAAATTTGACCATTAGGGTTAACAACATGAATTTTTTAAAACAAAATAATAAAAATAAATTATTTTAAAAAATTTAAATTTTTTTTAAAGAATATTAATTATTTTGTGTTCTGGTTGTTCTGATTTTTCTGGTTGTTTTTGTTGAAAGTTTGAATTGTTCTGATTGTTCTGATTGTTCTGACTATTCTGGTTGTTCTTGTTGTGAATTTAAAACATTCATATTTGGAAGAAGATTAGAATTTAAAGCTGTTGTAAGAGTATTAGTTGATCTTCTTCTTGTAGTTTTAGATGATGCTCCTCTGCAACATGATTTGGTTGTCTTGGATTTAACCAAGGTACATTTATAGTTTGATTAGTTTGATTGTTGTAGTTATTGTTGTAAATTAAAGAAATATCTTCTAAGTCTAAAACAAACTTGAAAGGTGATATTTTCAGATTAGTTACTGGATCATTAATTGGAGGTACATTTTTAATTATTTCAACCAAGATGGCAATTGTGAATCTTGAATTTTAATTAATTGAGCTGGTCTTATTTATGAGGTATCAATTATTGGCTTTATGTTTTACTTCTAGCCAAAAGTTTTTTGGTTCTAAATCATCTAAATACTTATCAATGTTAAAATCTAAAACAGAATAAACATTTTCATTTTTTATTGTTTGTGTTGTAACTCCAGTTAACACCATATTGATTCAAATTGCAGGCATTGTATCAAAATTCATTTCATGAAGTACTTTAATTGAAGTAGCAGTAACCTTTAAAATAATAAAAATCAAGAATTAATTATATTATTTAATTTTTTAATTGAATAAAAAAAGAATAAGAGGACAAGTGAGAAATAAGAAGAATAAAACTAAGAAAGATAAAAGGAGAAAGGTAAAAAAGAAAGTAACAAGAAAAAAAAAATAAGAAATAATCAAAGAGAAAAAAGACGACAAAAAAGAAACTTACTGAATACCAGCCTTCATGGGCAATGAATTTACCCTTCAGAAATATTACTTGCTCAATCTCAAAGTTTTCTATATTGTTTTCAACTTCTTGGTTTAGTGGAATAAAAACTTTTATTTGTAAATAAATAATTTCAGCAGGATCCATATCATTTAATCTTGAGATTGTAGTTATTTTCTTTTAAAATAAATTCATTTGTATTTTGCTCACTACAGTTATGTAAATAGCAAATAGTATGTAATTTTGCTGGCATTCTAGAATAATAATAAATAATAATAATAAATTGTGATAATAATAAAAATAGAAAAGTAAATGATATTAATTTTTATTTAAAAAAATAAAAAAATAATATATTTTTTAATTAAAATAATAGACTAGATTTCTATACTATAATTATGTAAGTTGAAAAAAAAAAATAATAAAAAGGATTGAAGAAATATATAAATAATTTAACTTGTAAACATGAGAAAGAATATACTAAATATGCTAACATAGTTATTATGAAAAAAAATTATTTTTTTATTTTTAAGTGGTAAAAAGATATTAATTTGTGATAATCACTTATACACTCCCCTAGCAAAAGTATTTGTGGAATGATAAAATTCGAAAATAATTGCTAAAATTAAAATGCTAATTGTGGCACAATGAGTGATCTAAATTGTACAAACTTTTTTTTATTAAACTAGGGCTATCATATGATATATTTTGTGATAAAATTGAACATCTATATATTTCCCTAGCCCAAAATATATCGCGAAATGACAGTGATGCTAGTTAAATTTCGTTTAGTTACTGTGTAACTGCGAAACAAAAAATAAAGCTCTTTAATACTTCGTGTTAAAATTGCTTGTATTAAATGTTTACCTACCGAAATGTATTCCGCGAAGCGTGATTGACGCATTATATTAAACCGCGATTAAATTATGATTCCCTAACTCCTCCTTGATCCCGTGCCGATTTACCTCTCAAATATCTCGTGACTTGTGACGATTATATTACTTACCCAGAACTACGTAATAATTCGGGACTCGTTTTCTACAAACCTCGTCGTATTTTCCCTCAAACTTTTTTCAAAATGTTTCGTGACTTAACTAAGAAGCAATGTCGGCTTCCAAAATTTCCAAAGGAACCTCTAGAGGAGAATAGGTAACATATGATTTTATCATAGAACTGTGATTAAGTTCCACTTAGTGTTGTTGCAGTTTACCTTTTAAGATTGGTTCCAATATATCGATAAAAAACGACAACAAATTTCTTGAAAGCCGTGAACCATCTGGGTACAAAGATTGCGGTAATGTTTTTATTATTGATATGGGTACACAAGAACACAAAGCTGTTGTTGCACTATTGCAAAGGTATTTTAATGTCCCCAATGGCAATGAAATTGCTGATCCACCAATACTCGTTTGGGTCAACCACGTAAGAAAATTCAAGTTTGCTCGATCTTTGACTGGATTTTCTAATATCTTACATCCTTTTTATAGTTCATCCGTCACCAAATGCAGATGGACTTGAGATTGCACTGAATGTTGCAGTACATCCGAATGAGACATACGTTCCAAGACCTCCTGATCCTGGACCTCTCAAACTTGGACCTCTCCCAAGCGACACAAGGGTGCATTGAATTTGGTGTATATTAATCATTATCTGTTTTGTATACAATTTTCTAATACTTATACTTTTGTAGGGGAATCCTCATGCTAGAATAATATGTGAGGTTGCAGTTAGTCAAACTGTCTGTGAATGGAGAAATAAGTGTGAACTTTGGATGAGTCAGCAGTACATGACATGTGTATTAGGAATAAAGCTTTATGGTTTGCGAACTACACGAAATACAGATGGACAATTTAATCGATCGATGAAGGTATCACAGGTCAAATACAAAAGATATGCCGTACCGAAAAGGAATTCCGATTTTAACTGATTATAATATAGGATGCAATAGGACAATCGATTGTTACCGATTTTTAGCTGATCTATAATATAGGAATTACCATTCGGTACAGCGATTCTTTTGTATTTGACTGTCGTATGTATCTATTGACTATTTTATTATTAGATTCATAGTTGATATTCTAAAAAACTTTTAAATATTAGGTAAATTATGGAGACAGGGAATGCCAACCAGAAAAGTAATGTTAAACTGCTTAGAGATACTGTTTATTTCATTTTTTCGATATTTATAATATGTTTTTTCCTAAAAAATATGGCATTTTGGGACTGTGCAAAAAGGTAGTAGGGAACCTACTGGGCGTAATTCTCCGGGTAATCTAGCATATCAAATCAACATTCCGTTAAGTGATGTATTTTATGATCCACCTATTCCAGTTATTGAATATGTTCCATCCTCGTCCTGCAATTCTTGGTGGTAATTTCACCATTGAAAATTACGAAATTCAGCAGATAGTTTTGAAAAGCAGCCAAGATAGTGAATATGTAGTGTGTTAAAGTTTTAATAAATACATAATAATTATAGTTGTTGACACTGCACTGCAATCTATAAACTTTGAACTTAGTTCATGCTCTTATTTTTTTTTGTATTTATTAATGCCCGCATCAAGCTTATCTTTAACTATGCATATGTGTGTTTGGGTGTGTGTGTCAGAAAAATGAAATAGAGAATATATTTAAGCAAGTCATCAGGAAATTTTTTTAGGCATAAATTTTCGAAATATTACGTAAATATTTCGGAATTTACGCCTAAAAAAAATCTGTTTTTTGAATTCGCTCGCAATTTACGTGATAGGGAGCGATTTGTTACTAGAATGTTTCTAAGATGGATCGAAAGTTCTGGTTCCTGGCTACATGTTGATATGTGTTTCATTCCTATAGCATCGATATTCACGTTTAAAGTCGGACGTTCCATGAAAAATTTCGTAAAAAATTTTACGGAAATTTTCGAACGGACGTCCGACTTTAAACGTAAATATCTCGATGAATATCGAAGCTATAGGAATGAAACATATATTGACATGTAGCAAGAACCAGGGCTTTCGATCTATCTTAGAAATACATTATAGAAAATCTCTCCTTGTTACTTAAATCGCGAGCGAAGTCAAAAACGAATTTTTTGTAAATGATGTAATATTACATAATATTACGCCTAAAAAATTTACTGATGAATGTGTGCACATGAGATTTTATTGCTTAATCATGGAACATTTAAAAGTTTTATTTATTTTATGATCCAATTCTCCGGAATAACTATATATGGGTCTTCGTAATACCAAACATATCTTAAAACGATCCAGTTTTCTTCGCACAATTCTTTCTTGAGTTGATTCTGCTCTTTCTGTTTGATAAAATTATTGGAGAAAGAATTTGATATATTTCTCATGTTGTTCTCGATCTCAAATCTATATTTAGGATAAAATCAGGTCAAATACAAGGAATTCCGATTTTAGCTGATTATAATATAGGACGGTCGATTGTTACCGATTTTTAGCTGATCTGTAGTATAGGAATTACCATTCGGTACAGCAATTTCTAATCCATTTGGATATTCTGGTATTTTGAGAAATTCAGGCTGACGTATCTTAGAGGCGGTCCAAGATACTTCGACACAATCTCTCTACATAAATTTTCTCTTTAATATTTTGAACAGCATGGATACCATGAATTATGATGTTTTATACTATTAAGAGTACTACATCTCCAAAGTAAATGTGTCTTATGATTAATATGTAAATACATTAAATAAACATTCACCATTTTTATTACGTGCTAATTCTTTGGCACATTCAATACCAAGTCTATCAGATTCACGACGGAAATATTGACACCAAGTACCACTTTTTATACTATCAATCAAAGCATATTATGAATGACCTTTAGAAAATCTCCAAAGTAATGGGTTACATTTATTATAATAAGAATTAGAAAGACAAGTTCCGTTCTTTTTATTCACAAGATTTTGAGCAAATTCAAGTCCAAGTTTCTTACATTTATGACACCATGTGCCCTCATTTTTAACATGTAAAAGAGATGTACGAAATTTATGTCATTTTCACATTCTCATAATAAAGGTGAATTATTATTAACATATTTTTCAGAAATACATTTTTCCGTTTCTAGTATATGCAATTTGCTTAGCAATTTCAAGAGTAAGTGGTTTTCTATGGACACCACTTGTTATATTTTATACTAGTAAGAAAAATTTATTGTTTAAAGGGTAAGTTGATTCTTCTTTAAATACAAAATTTATTAGCCATAATTTCTTGGTCACTATGTCTGATGCCATAAAGATGAACTATGAATTAAAATGTTTTCTTAAAAAAAAAAACAGAATAATTGCAAATTTATTATTATTTATTTATTTAAAAACAGATCGTGTTCCACATTTTTAATACATATAATTATTAAACTATATAAACAGTTCATGTATAAAATCCCATAAATGCATTTATTATAATGATTATTTTAATAATTATTTCTAATTAACATTTCTACTTGAACAAACAATGTTCCATTATTAAGAATATTTACATATGGAAAACAATAAATTATATGAAAATAATAGTAAAATGTTCTGCCACTTAGTCATAATTCTTTCAAACGAAAATTAAAATAGAAAAAACTACTTACATCTACAAAGTAGATGTCATAAGTGACAAAATAGGAAATTAACACTCTTAGGCCTAACATAAAAAGTTGGAGACTTGACTGATCTACTCTACTACTCCAATAAATAATTCGACAGGAATGATATAAGCAAATAATAATTCCTTCTCCAATGCTCCATCCCTGGAACACTTTAATTAAAAGTGGCGTTGGTGGAGGTGGAAGTGGTTTCAGTGGAGGCGCTGGTGCTGGTGCTGGAGGTGCTAGAGGTGCTGGAGCTGCTAGAGCTAGTGTGCTTTGTAGTCGTCTTAATATTCCTCCCAAGGCTATGATAGTAAGTAAGATTCCAGCATATGAAGGAGCATTATTCGAAAAACCCTGAGATTTCAGTTCGGAATCAATTTTGGTCCTACATTCAGTAAAATCAAAACTAGTGCAGTCGATTTGGAAGAGAGTCTTCAAGAATACTCCCTAAAATTTAAAAATTAGTCGAATGTTTGCCAATCCATAAACAAATTATTAAAATAAATAAATACCTCAAAAATCAAATGAGCAATGAAGCAACCAGTAGCCAGACCAACTTCAAAACGCTCAACAAACACGAGAATTATTCGGTCAAAAAATTCTACAACGGTCTTCGGGTGAATTATCTCGTTAATCTGATGTGCCCGGTAAGTTAAAATCGCATCTAGTAGTATGCGATTTATAACTTGTATAATGTAATAAGTTGGAGGATTTCCATCCTCCAATTTTATTACAAGAAACCATACTGAATTGAGGCAGCTTACGATATTGTAGCAAAGCTTAATTAGCCAAAGTACAATGTCTCTCCAATATACATCCCGATAATTCCTTTTATAAAAAAATAACCACAAAATATTACACAAAGCATTGTAGCCGAAGATCTACAAGATAGTATAATTATAATTTAAGAGTGGAAAATAATTACAAAACAACATTTTAATAATTACCCCAGCTCCAATCCCATATGCGAAGATGGAGATAAATGATTTAACCATGATTAAGAAATAGATATGGTTTTATATTATGATATTTGTTTTTCAGGATCAAGAAGCAAGCTTAATTTGCTCGATCGAATGTCAAGAAATGAAGCTATTTAAACATTTTTTACATTCTCTATCATGAAACTTCATTTTCAATATCTAAACAAAAGTTAATCGGACATTTTTACAATAGTTTCTTTTGTTTGTTTCTTATCGAAGACTCGTAGTCTCTGCATAACCAAAATTAGTTACCATACAATACCAACTAGGGATGTTATCGTTACATGATTGAGTAATTCTGGAAATAAAATTGTTTTTTTGTTTAATCAACGGGTTCCGTTTATCCTTTTATCGTTATCAACTTTTTCTATCTATAATACTTTTAATTAAAATTGGCTTCGTAATAAAATTTTAATTCTTGATTCGTGCAAAAATCAAATGCAATTTAAGTGCAACTTTTTTCATTAACTAAATAATTTTTATTATCCCAAAATGTAAATTCTTTAACAAACCAAGTTAGATATTCTTTTTCTTTGTTCATTATTCAGTAATGCAATTGGTGTTTTATTAATTGGATACGGATTTCTAGGAATCGCGAGATCCTCAAATTGAATAAAAAGTATCCCTTAAACCGTCTAGCGAGTAAATTTGCCCGCTAAAATTATCCTAATTAAATAAAATTTTATTATTGATAAGTACCCCTATTATATAGTAATTTTATTTAATTCAGATATGTAGTATTTAAAATAAATTTGCCCGCTAAAATGGACGGTTTAAGGGATAATCTTAACAGGCAATCTAATTAATAACCCAACATCATTATCTTCTTCACGCAACTTAAGTGAAGATAATGATTATATGTCAAACACAAATTTCAGTCATATTAGAAGAAAAACTCATGAATTAATTAAATACTGATATCTGGATATCTAATGATTATATAAACCTGAAATATATTACTGAATAGCAAACATTAATTAATATCTTACAAAGAATAAAGAAGAATAATAAAAGAAAACTAATAATAGGTAAAGAGTGAATAACATGAAATTAGCAAGATTCAAATGAAAAGTACTTGGTTATTCTTAGAATGCATAAATATAATTGATATTTAAATAAAAAAAACTTATCATTTTTACTCTAGTATTATTTCATGAAACAATTTTATATATAAATAATATTTTTTTAGAATCAAATTAAAAAATAAATGAAGCAAACTAAAAGTTGTGAGTTTTATATTTTTCCACCAGCAAATAATTCATCAATTATCTACTGGCATAAATTGCTTGTGGAATTGAAGAGTTGTTGCCCTTTAAGAAGCCTGGGTCTTTTTTTTAGAGAATTGATGCATTTAAGATGGAAGGCCTGTTTACAGATTAATTTCGCGATCGGTTCGTATAATGGATCAGAAAAATACATGTTTTGGTGGAGTTGTTGTTTTCGTCAGTGATATTACCCCTAAACGGTATAAACTGTGTCTGCCGAGCAATGCGATTGGATCCATTAATGTTGGTGTTTGATGTGTACATAGGCATGACACGTGTTTGGATAATCACATTGTTTGTGTTCCATTTATCATTTATTAAGAATATTTACATATGGAAACAATGAAAGAAACAATAAATTATATGAAAGTAATAGTAAATGTTCTGCCACTTAGTCATAACTTTTTCAAACAAAAATACAAGTAGAAAAGATTACTTCCGTTTGCAAAATAGATGTTATAAGTGACAAATAGGAGATTAGTACCCTAAGTGCTAATAAAACATGCAAAAGTTTGACTGATATACTCCAATAAATAATTCGACAGGCATGGTATAAGCTAATAACAATTATTTCCGTCTCTCAAAAACCTTAATTAAAAAAAAAATCGCGGTATGCTGGAACTGGGACTGGATCTTGGGTTTGGAGCTGGTGTCGGAGGTGATGGAGCTGGAACTGGAGCTCGTAGTCGGTTTAATATTCCCCCAAGGCTATTATAGCAATTGCCATTCCAACATATGAAGGAGCATTATTTGAAGTTCGAAATTAATTTTGGTTTTGCATTCAGTAAAATCGAAATTAGTGCAGTCAACTTGGGAGAGTACTCAAGAATAAACCCTAAATTTAAAAAATTAGTCAAATATTTTCCAATCCATAAACAAATTATAAAAATAAATAAATACCTCAAAAACCAATTGAGCGATTAAGAAACCAGTAGCCAGCCAAACTTCAAAACGCCCCAAAAACATGGTTCTTGGGTTGATACGAATTTTGTGTGCCCATAAGTTAAAATCGAAGACAACAAGAGTCTGCAAATAACTTGTATAATGTAATATATTTCTGGATTTCCCTCCTCCAAGAAACCATGCAGCATTGAGGCAGCTTATGACGTTGTAGCAAAGCTTAATTAGCCAAAGTATGATGTGGGGTTTGACCATTCTTTTGATTCTTTTCATAAAAATAGACCTCACAACAGCTTTATATTCAAAGCTCTAACAAGATAATATTATTACAAAACACATTTAATAATTACCAAAAACCCTCTGTCAAATGCGAAGACATCGACTGGTGAATTAACCATTGATAAGAAATATATGTCATAAAAATAAATGTTATTTATTTTTAGGATCAACTTAATTTACTCAGAAATGAAGCATTTCGCTTGAAACTTCATTTTCGGACTTTTTCCTCGTTTGTTTCTTGAAAATCTTTTACTATGCACAAAATTAGTTAAACATAACAAACTTACAAATTAATGGTTAACAAGTTGCAATACTAGAAGATATTGAAATAATGTTAATTGCATCGTTATGTTTCTTTTTATCATTATACAAAAATTTGGGTAATAAAATGTTACACAAATATTAATATCATCAAATAATCATCACAAATATATTTTCTAAACTTATAGGTCGGGAGTGTATAAACGAAATAAAATATCAACTATTACTAAATCTGGATATCTAATGATTTATATAAATGTACGTTAAAAATAAATAAATAATTCAAATTTTTAATCATCACTTGAATAAGAATTCTTTACTTTAGAACTAGTAGTAGAATTATCTAGAATTAATAGTAGAGTTTCTGGTGTTAAAGTTGAAAAGAAGTAGATAAACCTGATGCAGCTGAAGAAGTAAGTAAATCAAATTTGAAATAGCTCGGATAAAAAAATTATCACTGGATTAAAAAATAACTTTGAAATTTATAAAGCTCATTAAAGAAAATTAATAACAAGGAGGTTATGGGGTAAATTTTCATTTATCTAGTGAACCATGTATACGGATATAGCAAGCTTGGTTATCTTCGGTGCTTAAATCAACATGGGCCATAACTCTGTATCCGTTATCGCTATTAAAAGTATAAGTTTTGGTTCCCATAGTCTCATCCAGGATAATCCTCACCAATCTGATTTTTTCCAGTTCCATTATACCAAGTAACGTCACAGAAGGTTCCCTCCAAAGCATAATTGATAGTAAGTTTATAAGTTTGCAAATTTTGCACTATATAAAAAGGTTAAGATAGGGAATTGTTTAACAAAAAACCATGTTATGTTATCGAATCTATTAAGAAGTTTACCTTCAATGACCAGAATAAGTGCTATCTAGGCACAGATAATGGTAAAAGGTAAAGCAACTGAGTTCTTCATAGCAATTGCGATTGAATCAGGATATAAAAAAAAATGTGGTCGTCATTTCTCTCAACAAGTTATATAGATTTTTCTGGAAAGCAAACAAATTTAGAAACGCCGGATCTGCACATGTTTTTTTATTTTGTATGTAAATACTAGATTTCTTTTAGGAAAGTGGAAATAGCATATGGACGGATTTGTTTGATTGCGAAACCTAAAAGGAATCAATTTCTTTTTTTTTTTAGCTAACTAATTGATTTTTTATTTTGATTTATTCGACTTACATGTGGATTATTGTGGCTAAAAGATTATATGTATTGTATTTTTTTTTAGCATCGGCATTCACGGAGATATTCGCGTTTAAAGTCGAAAAGTTTCTGCCATGAATTTTTCACAGACGTTCGATTACCTCCGCGAATATCAATGCTACAGAAATAAAACACATATAATCTTGTAGCCAAGAACCAGGGCGTAAATTGTGGCCAAAGTCAAAAAAAAGTTTTTGTGCGTAATCTTCCGTAGGACACGTGATTTTCCGTCTAATTAATTTTGCTGATGATACTGTAAACCTTCAGATTAAATATGCAAAGGTATCGTTTTTGAGAGATCTGTGTTATCTTTTTGATAGACTTATTTTTAAGTAACGTGATGCAACTAAATATACATTGCACGTAATTTATAGAATAATAAAAATCACGTGAGCCTCAAATAATTAGTTGAAAAATGATATATCAAAAAAAATAACCATAGGTATATCAAAAAAATGACCATAGTCTAACAAAAACGATATTTTTACATTAAATATAGCTTGAATTTTCATATTTGCTAATGGATCATGACAATAGTTTTATTTTACCAGTGTTTCATAAAATCACAAATTTCTTTTTTATTAACAAGATTATATTTATTGAGAATCTTAATTTGAAGAAAATATCTCTTTTACAAAACAAATGGCACGGAAATTCTTGAGCATAAATATCAATGGTAAGATTATCTTTGATGCTTTATTATTTTGACCAAGGTGTCTTCAAAAATAAGAAACCTATCTCTATCTTAGGAGGTCCTCCCTTAATTGATGACTCAATAAATTAACAATTTAAGTTGTGACTCAAACATCTTTTACATCATTTTATGCTAATGTTGAATATTTACATATGGAAAACAATAACTCGAAAACAATAAAGGAAATAATAAATTACATGAAAATAATAAAATTTTTATACCACTCAAAGATTTGCTTTTTGCAAATGCAAATAGAAAACATTATCTTCATTTTTAAGATAAATGTCAAAGGTAATGAAGTACGAGATCAAAACTCGTAAAACCAACAATATCAGTTGAAGGATTGACTGGTCTATTCCCTTCCAATAAACAATCCTGCCTATATAATACAAACTTATTACAATCATTCCCGCAAAATTCCATCCTTGAGAAAACCTAATTAAAGGTTGTTGGTCATTTGGCATAAGTTGGTATCTATTCTCAAGTAGCATCATTATTCCTGACAGGGCTACGACCCCAAGTGCCATTGCAGCACATGAAGGTGCCGTATTTGAGAGTCCATTAGATTGCAGTTCCAAATCGATTTTGGTTTTACATTCCGTAAAATCAGAATTAGTGCAATCGACCCGGAAGAGTGTGCCCAAGAATAGACCCTAAATTTTAAAAATTAGTCGAATATTACCAATCCATAAACAAATTATTAAAAATAAATCAATACCTCAAAAGACAATTGTATAATTAAGCAAACAGTAGCTAGACCAACTACTTTACGCTCGAAAAATACATTAATTATTAAGTTCAAAAATCCGCTGTTATTCCTATCCCTTGGGTAAATGCTTTCGTAAATTTGGTGCGTCTTGTAAGTCAAAATAAAAGAGAGGATTATGCGGTTCATTACCGCAATTATATAATATGCTGAAGGATTCCCCTCCTTCAGATTTGTCATTAAAAACCATGCTGCACTAAGGCAGCAATATGAGTTATAGCAAAGTTTAGAGAGCCAAAATATGACATCCCTTAAATATACATCTCGACCAAAAAATTTTAAACCCCACAAAATCATATAAATAGCATTTTGTGTGAAGATCTATAAGATAATATAATTAAAATATTATTAAATATAATTAGAAGTTAAGAGCGAAAATTATTACAAAATAAGATTTAATAATTGCCAAAAATCCACCCCCAAATACGAAGACGGCAACTGATGAATTAACCATTTATAAGAAGTAAATGTGATTTTATTTATAAAAATAAATGATATTTGTCTTTCAGGATTAAGGAACAGAACAACTGAATGTCAAGCTATTTAACATTTTTATATCTCTTTATTTGTACCTTTTCAATATCTAAACGAAAGTCAAACTCCGTTTGTTTATTCGAAAATAGTTGCGGCTTACAAATGTTATCGTTACGAGATTGACAGGAAATGGAAATGCATAAATGGAATGTGCTTTTGTGCTTTTATTCAATCATTACAAGGAATTGTTCAGTTTTAAAATAAATCTTGTAGAGGGGTTCTATTTATAGTTACAAAAATTTGGGTAATAAAAATATTAATATAATCCAAAATGTCAGTCATTATTATAATTAATTAGATAAAAAAAAATGGTATTTATCAAATTGGTCTTGGTTTTATTATATAAACGAAATAAAATAAATAATATCACATTATTTTTTCTTATTAATTGATAATAACCACTAATAATTATTACTAATATCTGGATTTATATAATTGTGCGTTAAAATAAATGAGTATAAATAGAATTAGTAGTAGCAGTTTGAAGAAGTAATATTATTGTTCTTATTATGATGCTCATTTAATGATTTGTTTTTCTGTGAATACAAATCTGGAACTGTGTACGCACACCATTCGGTCTAAATAATTCTAAATAATAAATAATAAAATAGAATCCTGAATAGCAAACATTAAAACATTAATTAACCTCTTACAAAGAATAAATAAAAATAATAAAGAATAATAAAGAACAATAAAGAATACCATAAATGAAGGTCACGTGGGGATTCTTAAATGTATAAAAATAATTTCAATTATTTAGTATTATTTCGTGGAACAATCTTTTATGAAGAAATAGATGTGGAAATAAGTTGATATATCATTAAATATTTTTAGACTTGAATTATCAAATATAGATCATGCTCATTTAAGTAACGAAAAATTTCTCTGAAGCACTTTAGCAACAAAAATTATGTGACTTTATATTTTTCCACTAGTAAAAAATTCTATGTACTTATAATATCAAAAAATTAATAAATAGTGATTTATAAATAAATTTATATCATTTAAAAAAAAAAAAAATTAAATATAAAAAATTAATAATTAATAATGAATGAAAATGAATATAATATAATACTTACTACCATTTATTGATAGAAAAGAATTCTGTTTCATTTTTAGGTCCCGGAAGATTTGTAAAATTGAGAAGTCTACTGGTATAAATTGTTTTATAATTTGTTGGAGTTGTAGTTGTTGTTATATCAATTGTTGTTTGATTTTTGGAAAATTCTTCAGTTTCTTTTACTTCTCTCTCAAGCCAATACGAAGCATCGTCCCTAACCTTAAATAAACTAAGTGCGTGCTTCATTTGTTAAAGTATTGCCAGAGGCGGTTAAATATAGTACTCAATATCTTCATCAAGCCAACCATGAAAAAGTGAGGGTGCGTATCCTGCCATTCCTATACGATTTTTATTCTGAGGTAAGTTATTCTGTAAATTAAAATATCTGGTTCTGATTCAAAATCAGTTGGCGTTTATCTTCCACTTCTCACCGAAGATCCGATCCCACCAAAATGCATCAAGAATTTTTTGATTTCTGAATTCTTGTAATCCCTGTTTGTTCTAATCGATAAATAGTTAACTTATGGAGAATTTTGAAAGCTCGTTTAAATTTGTATTGTTTTTCCCATACCAAGCCACAAATGTATTCGTAAATTATATTTTTATATGCAAATTTTTTTCGTCAAGGTTCGGACTTTCGACATACGACATAAAACGCCTAGCACACGACGCACTTAACACCGCGAATCAATCAATTAATCATTACAGTCAATTATGAAATTCGGTTGCGGATAATCACATCACAATTTTTATTTGTGTTCCATTTACTAGAATATTTACATATAGAAAACGATAACCCGAAACAATGAAGTAGAAAATCCTATGTCCGACATTAACACTTTCAGAATCACCAGAACAAGTTAGAGGATTGACTGATCGACTCCCTTACAACAATTCTGCATATATGAAACATACATAACAGATAATATTCTTGTTTTTATAAGTTGGGATATGTATGTATGTGAGATATATTTGTGTGCAAATAACAATAATTTTTCCCTGATTCCATTCTTAAGAAAACCTAACTAAAGGTTGTTGACCATTTATTATAAGTTGGTCAAGTCGTACCACTATTCCTGACAATGAGAACCCATTAGATTTCAGCTCGAGATCAATTTTGGTTTTGTAATGAGTAAAATATTAGCACAGTCGACTTGGAAGAGAAAACACAATGGCTAGACCCTAAAATTTAAAATTTTAAAATTAGTCGAATATGATGTACATTTGGATTTATATTATTTTTAAAGTGGATTAAAATTATTTTGAACAATATATATTGACCCATGAAATGCTAAAAGGAATTATAAGAAGCTTCATGCATATAATTAAAAGGATATAATGAAATACATAATTAATTAAAGACTATTTGGATGTAAGTCGTTAAACTTCTACATACCAAATTTATTATTAGTAGAAGTACCTTTGGTAATACCATAAAAATTGTCCAATACAATTCTGACAACACAAGACTTAATTTGTTATGATCTGGTAAAGACAGAAGTTTTGTAACACGATCATATATGATCATATGAACGTTCGGATGAATGTTCGGTATATGTATAAATTATTTACCACGGACCATGTATGAGCGCCACAAAAATTTCAAGAATTCATTATTCCTTAATTTATACTTTCGTGGCGTCATTATTATCATATTTAGCATTTTTAATTATTCAAATTAAAAATTTTCTCACAATTATTTTCGCGCTTAAACTTATAAAATATATAAAAAATTTATGCGGTATTTTTTAAATCATAATAAAATGACAAAGAAACGAAAGACTACTAAGCCTCACGAAACAACGCCAACCTTTCCATTCAATCAAAATCATGAAGAATTATTAACAGGCGAAGAGCGAAATAAAACAAATGGAATAACAAAAACAGAGGTTCATTAAAAGTTTTTTCTTAATTAATGTTGGTATGAAACAAAAAAAGCTTTTGGCCGACAATAATTAATGACACTTTCAAGTGAATAATTTTTATGAGCTTCATTTTTTAAATAATTTTTTTCTAATTTTTTTGATATGAAAATAATTATTCTATTGATAATTATTTTTATATAGCAACCATCAGGAGGCGGATTGTTAGTAAATCAATCTTCAGAGATAAAATGGAAAAACATGACAGTTCGAGCAATTATGACATTTATTATGATTGGTGGTTTTTTTGTGGCTCTAGCTATCGGTCATTTTGCTGTCATTTTCCTTGTAGTATTGATTCAAACACGAGTATATAACGAAGTAATTGCTTTAGCACATGTTCCAAGTAAAGAAAAAAAATTACCTTGGTTCAAATCACTTAATTGGTAAGATTAATTTATTTTATTTGCTTTTATTTTTATTATTATTATTATTATTCTTATTATTATTATTATCATTATTAATATTTTCACCTATGTATTTTTTTTAGGTATTTCTTATTGAGCACGAATTATTTTCTTTATGGGGAATCATTGATTTATTACTTCAAGGAAATATTCCTTGTGGATGCTTTTCTTTTACCATTTGCCAAGCACCATCGATTTATTTCATTTACTCTATATTGTATAGGTAAAGTTTTATTTTTGATATTTGTTTAAATTCAAATTTAAAATTTATTTAATATTAATTATAAATTTTATTCATATTTTAGGATTCGTATTATTTGTTGCAAATCTTAAAAAAGGACATTATAAATTCCAATTCACTCAATTTGCTTGGACTCACATGACCTTATTGATTGTTGTTTGCCAAAGCCATTTCATTGTTAATAATATATTTGAAGGATTGATTTGGTAATTTAAAGTTATTGATTATTTTTAAGAAAATTTTCAGGTCATTAGTACTTATATATATATATTATATCTATATATTCATATAATATTTATTAGGTTTATTATTCCGGTATCTTTGGTAATATGCAATGACATTTTCGCTTATACTTGTGGATTCTTTTGGGGTCGAACACCATTGATAAAATTAAGTCCTAAAAAGACTTGGGAAGGTTTTGTGGGTGCATGGATTTGTACAATTATCTTTGGAGTTCTCGTTAGTATAACTTTTTTTTTTTAATTCTATCTCTACACAATATAATAAAATTAATTATTGACATTTTCTCTCATTATATATATGTTATAGATTTCTTCAGTATTAATGCAATGGGATTATATGGTTTGTCCTGTAGTAAAGGTAAGAAGATGAATTTTCTTTAAAAATTTTCACAAGATATATTATATTTATTAATCTACTTTTCTTTTTTTTTTTTTTAAAAAAAAAAAAAATAGGATTTAAGTGCCAATGTATTTTCAGGTATTACTTGTGAAAAAAATCCGGTGTTCATTCCTCAAAAATATGTGTTAAGTCCTTGGGTGGCTAGCCTTTTAAGGCGACTGGTATGTTATTTATTTTTGGTTTTACTTATTATGACAAGTTTATTAATTAAAATTTCATTTCTTATAAATTTTTATTATTATGTCAATAGACCTTCACTGATATTCGCGCCGTATCGATCGCCCCACTTCAATGGCATGTTCTAGTAATGGCATGTTTTGCCTCATTGATTGCCCCATTTGGAGGATTCTTTGCCAGTGGTGTAAAAAGAGCATTTAAAATTAAAGTAAGACACATTTTATTATAATAATAATTACATTATTATTTTTTAGATTTCAGATTTGTAAACATTACCTTGATTTTTTAGGATTTTGGTCACTCCATTCCTGGACATGGTGGAATCACTGATCGTATGGACTGTCAATTTCTTATGGGTTTATTTTCTTATATTTACTATCAGAGCTTTATCAAGGTATTTACTTTATACATTACATCAATTAAAAAGAAATTATTAATAAAATATAAATATTATAATCATCTATTTATTATTATTATATTTTTTTTTGATGTAGAATACTTCTTTATCGGTTGGAACAGTACTTCAGACTATTGTTAGTTCCTTGCATCCGCAAGAACAACTCGAATTATTAGACAGTCTACAACAATATTTAATTGGACAAGGATTGTTGGAAGAGGGAAAAGTTGCGTGCGTTAATATTAGTTAAATAATGGCCAAAGGCAGTTCCTTAATAATTTTTTTAATTGTAATTCGGTGATCATTTTAATATATTTTAATATGAATGGGAAAAATGTGTCAGATTTGTGAAGGAAAAAAAAAAAACTCACATTGATTGTTCGATGTGTATATAAAATGAATTTAATGTTGAATTTTAATATTTCATTATTTCATTATTTCATTATTTCATTAGTAGATAATTCATGTAATCATTGCATATGCTATCTTTTTTTTAATTTTTTATCTTATTGATAATTATTTATTTTATATATTTTTTTATTTTTTTATTTTCTTTATTGGGGTTATAAATAAATAAATAAATAAATAAATAAAATGTAATTATTATTTTTCTTTCAAAAAATTAAATGCATTATCTATAATTATAATGATTACTAATTAAAAAATCTTTTTCTACAAAATAAACTATTCAGGTTCAAAATTTCAAAATTTATTTTTTTAACTTGAAAAAAAGAAAAATTTCTTAAAATTAAATGATTTAATTTAAAATAAGAAATATTTTATAAAGAATATATTAATTTATGATCAAAAAGTATATTTAGATACCTTTTATTAAGCAAAAAAAAAAAAATAAAAGCAATACAGTTAGTTATAATTAATTTTGTAAATTAAAAATGTTTAGAGACTATTTGTATAATTTTAAGTTTTAAATTAAAACTCAAAGTTCTTTTAATAAAAATTTTAAAGATAGATATAAACTTATCTATGGGAGAAACTTTATACTTCCGTTATAGGTGAAAATTATAAGAATTATATTAATAAAAAGAATTAATCTCAAAGTTTTCTCAATAAAAAATTTCATTAAAAATTTGATAATTAAATTTCTATTAATGGTAATTAAATTTCTATTAATGGTAATTAAATAAATTATATAATTATTTCAAAGTTTTGGTGTAGTATCACCAATTTCTGTTGGCTTGAAATTTGCTTGTGCTTCAGGGGAATTGACTGAGGATGGTAATGTGAAATCTTTAACTTCTTTTAAATAATATTGATGTAAAGCATCTCTAAACGCCTGTATTTTGTTAAATTTTGTTAAATTTTGTCATTATTGGATTTAGAATTGTTTTTCAAAATTAAATAGATATTATAAGAATGAATAGAAAAGATAAAAAAATATATATATATATAAATTTTTTTTTTATTCACCCTGAATTCAGCCATCTTTTTTGAACTTCCATATCCTTCACCCAATTGATCAATATCTGAATAAATTCCCACAACAAATACAGGATTACTTGAAAGAGCACCACTTTCACCTTTTAATCTTGCAATTGGTTGGGCTCGCTCTTTTCGTCTCATCAAAGCAAACAATTCTTTTTGTGGATCTTCGAGATGCATGGTATCTTGTATTTTAACTTCTCTAGATAATATATGATCGTGAATGAATTTTTGGGCTGAATCAGGTCCCTACCAAATACCAAAAAAAAAATAATAATACAAAATATATAAATTTCTTATTAAAATAGGGAATTCATTAAAATATTTTGTAAAATAATGAATATTTACTATTATGTACTTGCATTGTCTTTGTATAAAATTCCAATGATAGATTGAACAGATTCCGCTATTACATTACTAATAGTAACTTGCTTAATTTTAACTGGTTTATCTTCTGGTACCATATTTGAATAAATTTTAGAATGTTTATATAAGTATTCATCTGTAATCTATTATAAAAGTATAAAAGTATAAAAGTATAAAAGTTAAATATTATTCAATTAATAAATAATTGGAGAATTTCCAAGTATTTTCCAAGTTTAAGCGAACTAACCGGATGCCACCTGACTACATGTTGTAAACCAACTTCTTGTCCAAAAGCAGCTAATGATACATGACCACAATATCCTGTCAGAGCTTTTTGTAAGCATGGTAAAGGTATAAGAGGATATTTAATGTGTAGGTATTCGGTAACATATAGACCAAGCGCGTGGTTTCCTTTTTAATATCAAAAACTACTTTTAGATTATATATATATATATATATAATCCATATGAGTTTAGAAGGGTAAATTAATAAGTTCATTAATTAACCTAGAACTCGAAAACCTTCACTTGATGGTAATGTTGTATTATCATATGTCTTATGAGTTACAGCTTGTAAAAGCAATTTTGGATGAGATACTCGAATATTCAAACGAGCAGCTAATGCATATAATTGTGGTGATATCGTGTCTTCTTCATTATCATTATTATTTTTGTTTCTGGAAGTTTTGACATAATTTCTATTATTTTTATTGAAGTCTTGTCTAGTTATGAGAGAAATTTGATCAATTTTATTAAATTTATTAAATTTATTAAATTCGTTTTTTTTTAGAAAACGAGTTAAGAAAGTCATTTTATACAATCCATTATTTCATACACAACCTTTTTAATCTTTTTTTGATTAGATTATATTAGAGAAATTAGATTAGATGATTAACGTGATCGTTTATGTAAAGACCATATAAGGGTATACAGATAGATGCATATCATTATTTTTAAGGATCGCTTATTTCCTTATTTCTCTTCGAATAATTATACAAATAATTCACATAACAGATATTATTTTTTTGTTATTTACAATTTAACCATGAACGTTACTGGCTCTGAACTCTTTCAGTCGTATGAGCAAGAATTTGAACAAATTGCTCAGTCCATTTCAGGGAAAATAAATGATACTCTTCCGTTACTTACTGGAGGTTTGTTTTGTTATTTCGACTAATAATCCCAAGATTTTCAAGCCAAATAATTAAAAATTTAACTATAGTTAAACTTTAATAGAAAAACGCAAAGCCACTATTCGTGCAGCTGAGCGTGAAATTGAAGAGGCTGAAGAAATTGTAAGTCTCATTACATTTTTAAAGTGAATCTCTTTCTAAGTGAAATATATAAATATTTATTATAATTTAATAGGTTGCTCAAATGGAAATGGAGGTGCTAAATTTACCTCCTTCAACTCGAACACGCCTTCAAGCCAGAATGAGAATTTATAAGAGTAATGTGGAAAAATTGAAACGTGATTTGGTAAACTTATTCTTCTTTCTTAATATATCTTTTCTTTTAAAGTTGTATGATATTTAAATAATTGATAAATTTTGATTTTGTATGTAGAGAGCTGCCAGGTCACGTATCACCGGAACTTCAGATCGAGATGAATTACTTGCTGGATCAAGTGGAACCGATCTTGATAGTGAATCAATGAACCAACGTGCCAAACTTTTAAGTGGAACTGAACGACTTGCTGATAGTAGTCGTCGTATACAAGATAGTCATAGAATTGCTTTGGAAACTGGTTGGTTGAAGGGAAAATCTAATATTACAGATATGAAATTCATGCAATAAAGACGACAAATTTATTAACATTTTTAATTTAGAAACTATCGGAGCCAATGTTTTAGAAGATATTCGTAGACAAAGAGAACAAATTTTACATTCGAGAAATACCGTAAGTTAAAATAAATTTTTAACTATTTATATATTAATCAAATCAATTAATAAATAATTTTTATTTTTATTCTTTTATTTTTTTTTTGATTATAGTTGATGGAGGCAGATTCTTACATTGATAAAGCCCAACGTACTCTTAACAATATGAGACGCCGGTAAGTTATCATTTCTCAAGACATATATTGTATTCTATTTTCTTAATTTGTTAACTTTTTTAATTAAAATCCTTCTTTTCAAAAAAAAAAAAAAAATCTTTTTTTAGTATGGCTACCAATCGTTTGATGACTGCCCTTATTATAATTATACTTGTTGCATTGATCTTATTTGTTATTTATTCTAAAATCTTCCGTTGATTTTGTTTTTACATTCTTTTACATTCGTTTACATTCGTTTACAAAGGGAAATTCGTTATTTAATTTTATTATTTTTATAAATATTTTTTAGATTGGGAATATGGGAATTATTTGTTTAATATTGGGAACTATTATTATTATTATTATTATTATTTTGTATATTAGAGATTTAAAGTTCATGTTTATAAAATACGATTAATAACGATTTAAGTGTAAAATAAATATTAAACATGATTACAAGATTTTTATTTCACTTTTTTTTTTCTTATAATTCTTATAATTCTTTAAAAGTATTAATGTTTTTTTTTTTTTTTTGTTTTATAAAAATTACAAAAAAAAAAAATGTAATGAAGCGCTCAAAATTAGATAAAATAAAAATAAAATAAATAAATAGAATAAATAAAAAAAAAAATAAATAAAATAAAATAAATAAGTTTGATGTATTTATCAATAATCTATAAAACGTTGTACTATTTCATCTGACATTAAAGATTCACGTTTTCTTGTAAAATCTTCAACTGCGTATTCCAAAAATCTATGTTCATCCTCTCGATATATTCTAATATATTCTAGTTCACGAGAATTTCTCTCATTTTCCATCATTTTCAATACTTTTTCATTTGCCTGTTTAAGATATGATAAAAGATTTTCCACATTATCTAATACAGAATCTACTACTCGCCATTCAATTATTGGATAAAAATCTAATCCATTAATTACATTATCTAAATCTTCAAGTGTAGAAATTACTTTATCACCAATAATTAATTCCACACAATTTTCACTATCAGAACTTTGTGTAAATTTTAATCCATCATCTTCAGTTAATACACTTATCCACATAGCTCTAGTAGAATCTTGTGTTAATTCCGCTCCACCTTTTTTTCTAGTTACTGATACCAAATGTTTAATTCCATGAAATTGCATAAAATTCATTTTTATTTTAACCAATTCATCATCATCAAAAAATGGTACAGGGAATGAAATAGCTGACCAAGGATTATCACTTAAAGTAAATCCATGAACGAATAATAATTCTGAATTTGGTTTATCCCCATAAGAAATACAAATCTCTGTACCAGGAGAAATTTGTTCTGGTGTATCAGGTTTTGTTAAAATAAGTTCAATTCCTTCACCTTCAATTGTAAGTTCCCACCTTGAACATGGAGTTAAAGAATGATTCGCGAAATCAAGATATGGTACTAAATGATAATCATCTATATTAGAATTTAATAAATTTGATTCAGTTGAAATATCTTCAAAACGACTACCAAATGATAATATTCTAGACCAAAATACTCCATCAGCCCATCGATAATGTTCAAAAGTGATTACATCATGACCATCATTAAAATTATTATTAATTCCTTGAGTTGACCATCTATTAAAGTATGGTCTAAGAGTATTATATTCTCTTTGTAATTTTTTGATTTTCGCATCTATTGCTGCTTCTAAACTTGTACCATTTAAACAAGCTCTTAATGTATAATCATAAAATAATGGTGTATGAAGTGTACGTGGTAAAATGTCAACATATGCTTTCCATAAAGAAGGTGAATCATTACTACCAATACGTTCATGTAATAAAAAACACATAAGTATTAAACGTTCATTCAACATTCTACCATTATTATGTAAAGCTTGAAAAGTTTCTTCAAGTTTCGGTGCCTTCTCTTTTGCATATTTTCTAACTTGCGTCGCATTTAATAAAAGTTTACTAGGGATAAATACTACTATTGAATTGTCACGATCGACTTCACGATTAGTAATAAAACCTAAACCCTTGTCTGGAATATCTTGAACACTAATGTCAGAAACTATCCCGTGTTCTAAATTATTAGTTATGGGAGTGTTAAATTCATTTTCAAGTCTGGGAATAATAAAACATAATCTTATTGGAAATGTAGCTAATGAGTTTTTTTTTCAAAATGTTTTTCTAATACCTTGTGACCACTCTAAAAACACTTGTAATGCTGGAGCAGTTGCCGCCATTTAACTAACTAAAAATTTTTTTTAAAGTTTTACTAAAATTCATTTACTCTTTAATTTCATTGGATGTCTTAAACTGGGGTGGAAACCCCAAAAAAGCCGTCGTATAACTAAATGATACTAATGACAAAAAAAAATTGGTGAACATTCAGGAGTTATCTATTAATTAGTAGAATATTCTAGATATTCTAGTAAAAATAATGCCGTCAAACATATAAATGGATCATCCGCGCAAAGATAATTCCCAAGTAATAAATTAATCGTAAATAATTAAAATAATTAATTATCAATAAAAAATGTCTTGGGATCCTGAATTTGGTCGATTTGAAACCTCTATCTCACGTATGTTCGATGACTTCTTCAAAGATCTTAATGTTGCCAAACGTACAGGTGGTCCTGCTACTAGAAGTCAATATACACTCTACAATTGGTCTCCTCTTCTTGATGTTCACGAAACAAAGAAAGAATTCGTAGTTAATGCTGAATTACCTGTATATATCTATAATATATTTTATTTTATCTTTTGAAATTTTTTTGGATATAAATTTTTGTTTAATAATTTTACCTTTTTTTAAAATATATATATATTTATATAATAGGGCATTAAAAAGGACAAGGTTAGTGTTGACATAAAAGATAACAATTTAGTAATTTCCGGAGAGAATAAAAAAGATGAAAAATATAAAGAAGCCGCTACACATATTCACGAACGTCCATATGGTAATTTCTCTCGTACCGTGGCTCTTCCTCCAAATGTTAAGACCAATGAAATCTCGGCAAAATTAGAAGACGGTATTCTTGAAGTGGTTATTCCTAAAGCTGAAGCTTCTTCAGGCCAGAAAATTGATATACAATAAATAATTATATGAAAAAATATGTAATTTTACAAATATAAAATGCTAAAAATTTTAATACGTGAGATAAAGATCATTTCTTTTTTAATAATCAAAGAATAATAAGCATTTGTTTCATATATTTGCTTTATTTTGTTTCTCTTTGATATGTAACAAATATGAATATACAATAATTAAATAAATTCCCTGATTTTCGCTATAAATAGTGATTCATGCAGAATATTTAAAATGTTGCTCTTTATACATATACATCTCGTATAAATCTATTTTTTTAAAAAAAATTTTGAAGAATTTGATAATGCCGAGAACAAAATTTAGGCCATGCATTGATTTACACGATGGACAAGTAAAACAAATAGTTGGTGGTTCATTAAATGATATAAATCCAGATGGATTAAAAACAAATTTTGTTTCTAAGTAAAGATATAAAAATATATTTCTTGTTCTTTAAAAATGTATATATATATATAACTTTAAATTATTTAATAAACATTTTTGTGAAATTTGAATAGAGAGAAACCAAGTTATTATGCTAAACTCTACAAAGAAAATTATTTGACGGGAGCTCATGTTATCAAACTTGGTATCGGAAATGATGAAGCTGCAAAGGAAACTTTGAAAACTTGGCCTGGTTTAGATTATATTTTAATTATAATTCAAATAATTCAATAAAAATAATTTTTTTTTTTTTTTTTAAAAAAAAAGGTGTTTTTAACATTTATCATTAAATAATAATAATAATTAGGTGGTTTACAAGTTGGTGGTGGAATTACACTTGAAAATGCAGAGGAATGGATTAAAGCTGGTGCAGATAAGGTTATTTATTAATGATATTTATGATATTTATTAAATAATGTTTATTAAAAAAAGATGCTTTTACTTTAATCTTTCTTCATTACAGGTAATCATTACATCTTACCTTTTTCCAGGTGCGAAATTCTCTCTTTCACGTTTACAAGAATTATGTAAAAAACTTGGTAAAGAAAGAATAGTTATAGATGTGAGGTAAATAAAAAAAAGATTTTTGATTATCGTCTTTTTTTTTAATATTTATTCCAATATATCTACTATTATCTAAAAGTCGTCATAATAAAATAAAATAAACAAAATGAACATATTAAGTTGTCGTAGACAAGAAAATAAATGGATAGTTGCCATGAATAAATGGCAAACTATGACTGATATGGAAGTTAACAAAAGTAATAAAAAGCGTTATTATTTTATTATTATTTAATTTCTTTTTTGACCTAATTGATAATTAATTTAATTAATTTTTTTTTTTTATTTATTTCAAAAAAAAAAGGAACATTGGATTTATTAGCTAATTATTGCAGGTATGAAATATATTTAAACAAATATTGTCAACAATAAGTTATTAAAGGAATCATAAAACTAACTTTTTTCATTTTTTTTTAATATTTTGTTTTCCAGTGAATTTTTAATTCATGCTGCAGATGTAGAAGGATTGTGTCAAGGAATTGATACAGAATTAGTGGAATGTATGTACTATATCATCATACAACATTTGTTATTATTATTATTATTATTATTATTATTATCAATATTATTATTCTTATTGTTATTCTTCTTAATCAAATAGGTTTGGGAAAATGGACAAGTATACCTACAACATATGCAGGTGGAGCAAAATGTAAGAATTTTATTTAATTCATTTATTAAGGAATTCAGAGAACTTTTGATAAATTATATTTAATATTATAATCTACAGCAATTGCTGATCTCGATTTAGTCAACAAATTATCAAATGGAAAAATAGATTTGACTTTTGGGAGGTAAAAATTTCTTTCCTGATTATAATAATAATCATAAATAATAATAAATTATTATTATTAACAATTTTTTTTTTAAATAGTGCATTAGATATTTTTGGTGGAACAAAGGTTAAATTTGAAGATTGTGTTAAATGGAATAATAATAACTTGAACATTAGTCATGATTAAGTCATTACAAATACTCTATTGAATGAATAGATTTCATTACATTTATAATAAATAAATTTTACTAAGTTACAAGCAAAATTTAAATACTGTACTTTTTAAACATTTTAATGAGTTCTCAAAAATAAAATAAATAAATATTTGGTAAAATTACTAGAGGGTAGTTAATTTATTACATTCTTACGGAGGAGGTAAAACTATCTGTAAATTATAAAGATTCAAAGTACGAGTTAGTGGTTGCAAAGTGCCACATTTGTTGGTGTACAAAGAGAATCGTTATATTGTCCAACATGTGTACCTACAGAATTTACATTATCATCAACAATGCAAAATAAGTACCAGTTAAAAAACTTACTACATCTAGATTTTTTCGAGTCACACCAGATTCTTCATCTAATAGAATGTCCAGTCAGTAAAATATGACCACATCCAAAATGGGTACTAATAACCAGATCTATATATAAACGAGTCCACCCCTGCTCCTTATTCAATCAACAAAGGAAATGAAGAGTCATCAGAATCCTGAATATAATAAATAGATTGTCCATTTAGTCCTGCAATGCCTATATATGTATCCAAAATCATCTGGTTGATTCATTACATCAATTCGATATCCTATTAGATTCCCACAAGTTGTTAAACCCCATAATTTATGATCTCAAGGACCTTCTTTCTTAACTAACAATGTCCAGCGATAGTAAATACATCATCTCATAAACTAATTTTGGCTCAAAACCCCAAAGAATATATAATGTTGTTATCCAAATTCTTTATTACGTATATTATATAGATGAGTATTTTTAGTAGTAGTATTTCTTTATTCTTTTTTGTGTAATTTAAATTGACATAATTAACACTTAATAATTCTGGGTATTTGTTAATAAATATTTTTTTAAAAATTGCTATCATATTATTATGTTCAATATCAATACACCATGTTGTTTTATTATTTCAGTTAATTCATTTTAAAGTGCTTAGGGAATAATTAACCTTAACTTCTTGAATTAAATTATGATTATCCAGAGATATATGTGACAGATAAATATATAAAATCCTACTAGAAAGATAACATTTATGTTTTCAATTTTATTTTACAACCGGAAACTGTATTAGTCCGGACAAAAATTTATCCAATAGCAAAAAAAAAATAAAAATTTATTCTTGAGCATTGGATCACACATGACATATCAATTATACACTCATACAGTGTGTTACAAAAGTCTTTGGAAATTTGATAGCCGGAATTAAATTAGTGCCACCGGCCCAATTTAAACACA